CTAGGGGGGGAGTAATTCCATTAGACAGACCTGGAAACCTGAGGACAGCCGAGCTCAGACTTCAGGGGCGGTGCTTCCGACGCGCGGACGCCGGGCCACGTGGCCCGGGGATGAGTCAGCAGGGCCGGGTGGGGCTGGGCCTCGGGCGGGCGCTCGGACCCCCGCCTCCCTGTCCCCCTGCAGGTGGTCAGACCCGCGATCCAGAGGCCAGTTCCCTTGCCTCGCCCCGCTCCCCTCGCCCCTCGCCCAGAAGCATTTAGCAATCTGGGCAAAAAGGTTTCCTCCGAGACGCTTGGCCAGCACCAAGCTTTGGGTGGCATAGGACTCATCCCATACCCAGTTTAGTTAATTTCATGCTGAAAGAATTTTAAGGGTAACCCCCCCTATACCCCCAAGATCCTCCTAGTTTATTATTTAATGGCCCTTGGTAATGAGGAAGATTTTAAAATCTACTCGACATAATTCTTTCTGCATTTTGGACCAATCTCTCCACTTTTTTAATTTTTTTATTCTCACTTGATACTTTTCCATTGCTTTCCAGAGAGAGTGGAAGAGAGAGAGAGAGAGAGAGAAACATAGACACATCAATTGGTTGCCTCCAGTGAGGTATCGAACCCAAGACCCTTTAGTCTGCGGGCCAGGGCTCTAACCACTGAGCCAAACTGGCTAGGGTTCCACTTTTTAACGGAGGAGAGAGCTCACGTCTTTCTCTATGCCTGCTTCAAAAATGAGAATTTTATAATGTTTGGTGATTTTTATGAATTTAATAAGCTTAATAAAATGATGGGGGGGGAAGAAACTCCATAGTTTCATCACTCAAGAATAACTTCTGTATTGACCATTTTCATGTATTTTCTTGTGGTATCTATTTCTATCGCTGAAAATACTAATTGAAATTGGGCTATACGTACACTGCTTTACAAAGTGACATCAGGTGAGTTTCTCCGTGTGTTTTACCCTTTGCAGAAATCATTGTAAGAAGATTGGTGTTTCATGAAGTAGACAAGTTCACTCTGCTCAGCTCCCTATTGTAGGACCTGCCAGGTGTTTCCTGTTTTTTTTTTACATCTTTATTTTTAAGTTTCTGTCTCTGGAACTGATCCATGCTTCCCAGGCAGGATCATGCTCTTTGAATTTATCATTCACTGAGGCAGGGTGGGGTGGTGGAGAGAGAGGATTGAGAGCTACCTTCTGTCCACCTACTCTCTGTGTCAGTTTCAGTAAGGAGATAATTCCCTTCTCTGAGCCTCAGTCTCCTTATCTGCAAAGTGGGAATCAGAGTCCCAGCCTTAAAAGGCTATTGTGAGGCTATGAACCAGTGTGTGTAAAATGCCTGACACCCAGTAGGTGCTTGATAAGACATTGCTGCTATAGCGCACCCACTGTGTACAGGCCCAGCTCACTTACGTGGCCCCTGAGTCTTGTATGGACACTTAGTTATTTGCTTTTATTTGTATTGGGCTGTTGGCTCTTCGGGGTGATCCTGGGGCTGTTTGAGTGTCAGTGTTTCTGGAGCACTGGGTCCATTGTGCAGGTTCAATGGGCTGGTGAATAACTTACAGCAGAGTCCTTTGTCCCGAGGGGATCCTTCCTCTTGTCTGCTGCCGGGCTCATCTGTCAGCTGGGGCTTTGGAACAATAGCCAGAGATACTCAGGGGCTGAGGGTGACATCTGTCTCCCCAGCCCTCTGTCGGCTGATTGGGTCAGATGAGGCAGGTGTCCCCTTCTCCCTGTGGTGCCAGGTGGGCCTCTCTGAAGGCTACTGAATGAGTCATGAAAGAGAGGGAGGGGCTGAACTATTGAGTGCTCGATCCTGTGGAGTAGATCATTAATGGAAACCAACTCTACTTACCATTTAGTGACCATTTACCAAAGTTCTTGCTGGAAGCTGCCTCGTGGAGACCCCAGGATAAGGCTGGGAGTTGGGCAATACAGATGAGAAACGGAGGCTCAGAGAGGTGAAGCGACCAGGGCAGGCTCACGCAGCACGCTGATTGTACAGTCGGGATCTGAACTGGAATCTAGGATAACTCTGAAACATGTGTTTGTAATTCCTGCACTGCAGCACCACCTCTCCTAAAAGGGAACTTAATTGCCCAAGACCGTAGAAGCAATGAGAGTAAACCGATCCGAGATGGTTTATCGTGTGGTCCAGCTTCTTCACAGTCACATGGCGCTGATGCCCACGGTGTCTGCCATGCACACACACCTTCCTCATTTAATCCCACCCCTGCATTTTGACAGAAGTCTTCTGCCCCTTTGGGGTTCAACGGGCCTGTTTACAATCCATTTGCACCATTTTCTCTCTGGGTGATCTTGGGGCACGTCACTTTACCCTGAGCCTCAGTTTCCTCACCTGTAAAATGGGGGCAATGAAACCCAACTCCTGTTTGGTCAGGTAGATAAAGGTGCCCCAATTAGTATCTGTTCTCGGGAAATGTTAGTTTATCTTCCTGTCCCTTCTTGCTTTTCTTTCCTCCCCCACAGCTCAGAGTTCCCCTTGTTTGAGGGGAATTTGGACTCTGAAGCCCCTCTTTTGTGTATGCTCTGACTTTACCCAGAAACAGCACGTTCTGCTCCTCTGCAGAAGCCTCAATATCTCCCTGAGCATGTCCCGCACAGCCTGCTATTCCCAGAAGCTTCCCTGAATTCTCAGCACTTACTCATCCAAAGCAATTTAGGCCAACTTCTCCCCTGTGCCTCCCATCTCTGGGCAGCTATTTTATTCCAGAGTCAGAGAAAAACCCCCAAACCCAGAGGGATCCTAAAGTGCAACCGAGTGCATGTTTTCCTGGCAGCTGTTCGTTCATTACCAGGAACAGCGCACAGAGTTGGGGGGGGGGGAGCAGCCCTTGGGTGGAGGTAATGAGCAGAGAGGACAAGGGTAGTAACAACAGAATGCAAGCAGAGAGGTAATATTCATCGGCCCATTTAAGCTTCACAAGGGCCTTGGGAGGCAGGCACTTACTGTCCCCATGTCACGGATAAGAATCCAGCCCAGGGGGTGATGCACTTGCTCAGGGGGGCAGAGCAGGACAGGGATCCATGCAGTAAAGTCCCTGTCACCTCCAGTGTGTTAGGATGTTTTGATTGGCACTGGCCCGACCAAGAGACCCCCTAGTTTCCTGTTTGGCTTCTGATCTGCATCTGAAGAGATCAGTTTTGGGCACAGGCTGTGATGCCAGACAGGGACCCTGGCATCTATTGTCCAACGTGCCCACGGTACCTATTTATTCCCCCACTCCTCTCTCTTTCTCTCTTGGCGACAGGCGGAGGCAACTCCCTGCCCACCCGTGGAGCTCCAGACACGTTCCCGAGGCCACCATGACCCTAAGGGCATCAAAGGAGGAACCAGATGTCCTTTCTTCTCCTCTGTGCGCCCGTGGGACGGCAGAGCCCGGCATCATGCTGTGTGCTCAGGTCCCCTGTGAGATCCGCGTGTGTGAGGCCTGACTCTCCCAGGTAGGAGGGACCCCTAGGATTCTCTGGGATCCAGTCTGTCCATCAGAGCTTCCCTGATGGGGCACTGACCTTGGCGTCAAGCGGGTGGGGTGGGGCTCAGGTGGGCTAGTGGGAGCTGAGATGCTGGGACTGGGGCCCTGCCGCCGTCCCCCCAGGTCTCTGAATGGCCTCTCACCCAGCCCTTCTTGGGGCTTTTCTATCATCATATCAAAACGAGTTCTGAAAAAATAACTTTATTGAGTCTTCATTTACATGCAAGGAACGCACCCATTTAAAGCTCACATTTCAATGTGCTTTTGGTCGATGTATACACCTATGTAACCACCACGCAATCAAGACATCAAACACCTTATGGCCCTAAAATGTTCCCTTGTCAAGCCCCTTCCAGCCCCGGTCACAGGAAACCACCGATGGGCCCATAGATAAGATTGTTAATTCGAAAGTGCCATTAATATGGAAACTTTAGTGTTTGGGTTCTTTTTTGCTCAGCGCAGTGTTTTTGAGGTTTGTGCTTGTTTACGCACCTACCAGAAGTTCTGCCCTTTTCTGCCAACCTCACGGGGGCATAATGTAGGTGTCACAGAACTCCATTTCAGGGGCAGGATTCCGTGAGTTTTAGGAAGTTTACCAGGTCATGCGCCCAGCGCCAGAAGCCGGTTTCAGAAAGTTTCCTGTGCCCGGTGAGAGCCCTCAGGCCTGCTCAGGGCTAATCTCCACCCCACCCCTCGTCCCAGGCAACCACCCGCTTGCTGCCTCCGTAGGTTTGCTTTCTGGATGTTTCATATAAATGGGATCGTCCAGCACGGGGTCCCTTGCCCCTGGCTTCTTTTACTCCACCTAATGTTTTTGAGGTTCTCGATGCTGTACTGGGTAGCAACAGTTTGTCCCCTTTACTGCTGAGGAGATGTCATTATAGGAATGTACTGCGGTTGGTTTATCCAGTGGCCAAGAGATCTGTGCTTCCCAGCTGGGTCTATACACTCCCACCCCAGGTGGCACAGGACAAATATGACTTGTGTTTCTGGGACATCAGTATTCCACAAGGACTTACTCCAAGTTTAAATCGTTAATGGGCGAAAGTAATTTTTGGAATGCTTACCGTGTGCCAGGCACTGGCTAAGCCTGAGAATGAACTTTGAGTGACATTTGCACACATGGGGTTGGGGACCACAGTCTCATCCATATTTTTCTGACCTCAAAGCCTTCCTCTCTACCCTCCTAGACAGCTGCCAGCCTGACCTAGGAGGTGAAGGTGCCCTTGGAAACGCCATCGCCTTATTGACGTCAGGATCCTGGGCACAGGGGGCTGGGAGAAAGGATCGCTGTGTTCCAACGGTGTTCCCGAGGGTCCCTTTTCAGAGTGCAGCAAGTTCCTGGGACGGCACTGAGAGGAGGGAGTTTCCGAGTGCTTCTGGATGGTCTGACCACGCGGGAAGCAGCCTTGCAGATAAGTATTCAGACTTACCAGCCCGCAGCCTGCCAGCCCGCCCCGGCTGGTCTGTGCGGGAAAATGCAGCGTCCCAGAGCCCCCAGGAGGGAGGTGAAATTGGTGATGTAGCTCGTTCACCTTTCTACCTCTATGCCACAAATAAAGAGCTGGTCCCCACTTTACGGGCCCCCACAATGGGTAATTTTCACACCCCACTGTTGGCATCGAGGCTAGTGTTTTACAAACTCCACCATCAGGAACTTCTGAGGGGCTGAGTTTAATGACTTCATCTCGAGTACGGTAGAGCTGGTGTCAAGTCAGAAGGCGGTGGGGACTCCTGGTGGTTGGGGCTGGCCCTTCTCTCCCCAGTCCTGGCCCTTGGTTATCAGAGTTATAAACCTCGGTCAGGGTTCCTTTGCTTAGCAGTCAAGTGGGGACCTCAGCACGGTGCCTGTCGGGCACATTCTTCTCAGTGCAAGGGGCTAAGTGCCCTTGTCCCAGGTCCTGGACCCATGTCCCAATCCTGGGTGCTGACAGCAAGCTCTGAAAATATGCTTGGAGGGCCACCGACTCTCCTGGCCCAGCTCTGCCAGTCCATGCAGCTAGCTTAGCTGTCACCAAAAGTAAAACTTGGGAGATGGTTAGGTCAGAATTAATGGGCATTTGAGGGTGGGGGAGCAGAAAAATAACTGGCTGAGCACAAGGGGGCCTGCTCTTTCCCACCTACTGCCTCAAACTCTGGGCTACTATTGTGCACCCTGGGTGACTGTCAGGGCCCGGAGGGTCCCACAGCCCAGAGGGAGGAACAGATTTTCCAGGGCTACACAGCATAGCAGGTTTGGGATCAGAATTCCCGATTCCTGACTCTGTTCAGTTTTTCCTGGGTCCTGTTCTGCCATTATGGGGACCAGGGAGGTGGGTGAAGGACATTTTGGGGTGGGACGGAGGGAAGTGGAGGGTGGTCTGCCTGGGCCCAGCCTCTGTGGCTCTCGAACCTTCTTCTTGTTAGCGGAATGTCCTGCCCAGGCCCGGGGCCTGGTTGCGGTTTTCTCCTGCAGTGTGGTTGGCTCTTTTGTCTTCCAGGATGGGCCTGTGGGGGTCTATGTGGCAGCCGGGAGCTGGGCCCTGGGCTGCCAATGTGTTGGCTGGGCGCTGCCAGGTAAGTCTGGATAGGAGTGGGGGAGGGAGGGTCCATTGAACTTGTTTCATGGGGGGAGATTATTCCCCCACCCAGAACCCTCCCCAGGTCTGGGCCTGGCCAGACACTTGAGCTCAGGAGAAGGTCTGGGACCAGGTGGCTGGAGGCCTGTTCTGTGTGGTCTCGGTGGGGGTGGGGCAGTGGCGGAGATTTCAGCACCTTCCTTCATTCAGCACAAACTCGGACCAAGCCCCTCTCCCAGCCTGATGATCCAGAGGTGACACCAGAGACGTGGCCTGCCTCTCAGATCATCACGTAAGAATGCACCTCTCACAGTCTCAGCGGGGAAGTGAGCTCCCGGTCCTGGGAGGTATGCATGCGGGGAGGGGGGGGCTGCAGAGGCCTCCTTGGCCAGAGTGTTGTAAAAGGAACCCAGGCCTTCCAAGGACTCTGAAGGCCCTTTCTGCCCACCGGACCCCCTGCCCCTTCTCTCATGGTGCCCCTGGGGCTGGCGCTGGGCTTCCATTATTGCCTTTGTCATTGTCAGGGCTAACTGTCAAGGTGGGGCATCCACGGCTTTCATCACTTCCTATTCCTGTTTCTTATAGAAGTTAGTGGTTTTCAGAGCCCTCCCCCCACCCTGTCTAGGTGTTGGGGGCACAAGAGGGAGACTGGGGGGTCTCTAAGGTATCCCCCCAGATGTGGGGTTAGGTTGGAAGGATGGGGAGGCTGGGGGTGGAGGCTGGGCCCCGTATCCTCACTCTCTGTCCCTCCCCCAGGTGGTTCCTCACGTCCAGGGCTCCCAGCCTGGTCTTGTCTTCGGAGCCTGGGTGACTCAGGCCACAGGGACACGGGAGCAGCCTTCGGTGGGTTTCTGGAACCCTGGACAATTCTCCCAAGACCCTGTTCTTCCAAACTCCTGGGATGGAGCCTCTTGTGGATGGATAACGGGCCCTCCTGGTCCATGGTCAGCGAAATCAGGACCTGGCTGGGGAGGCCAGCTCCGGGGTGTGAGGGCGGCCAGCAGCTCGCTGTCCCCTCCTGGGCCTTGAGGTCACTTCCTGGCCTTGTGCAGCCTTGGTCCCTCCTTGAATCTCTGCTGATGATCAGACAGAGGCCCCGACCACACCCTCCCTGAAGCCGGGTCCCAAAGATGCTATGGATGGGGGCAGGAACCTGGGACAGAGCTGCCAGCGGGAAGGAGGGGGGGAGCGCAGACCAGCTCAGCGGGCGCTGTCGCTGGAGTCTATCTTATGCCACTTGCTTGCTGAAGGGTGATTCTCATTTGGGGGGTGCTTTTTGGATGGGGATTTTCCTGCTTCTTTCTGATGGTCGCTGGGAGGAGGCAGTCGGTCTGGGAGGAGCCTGGGTTTTTCCCCATGCTGTTGGGCTCTGGGAGGGGCAACTGTGTGTATGTGTGGGGGGGGCTATGGGTGTGCCATCCTGAAAGGGGACAGTTTGTTTCCAAGAGAGGGGGAGACCCAGGCCAGGGGATTCACCAGAAGGAGACAGACACTGGCTTGTTCCCACCATCCAAAGGGAGCGGGCTGGGTCTCAGACCCCTGCTTCTTGCTGTAAGGATCTTCGATTTTACAGCTGGGGGGCAAAGGCAGGCAGGGCAGGCCCCACACACGTGCAGTTCCCCCTTCACACCGGTTTGCTTCCAGCCACCTCTCCTTTCTTCATCCAGCCCCTTCCAGAAGGGCTGGTCCCAGTGTTTGCCCTGGACCAGCCGTGGTACGTCCTTAGGCAAGTTCAAAACTAGATGTTTTCCCAGGGTGGGGGGGCCTGTATCAGTCAGCTCCAGCTGCCATTATAGATGGAGGTGGGGGGGGGGCTTAA